CACACTCCACTACTGACCACAGACACACCGACATTCACTGACACAGAGAATAACAGACAACACACACTCCTCTACTGACCACAATCACTGACACAGAGAATAACAGACAGCACACACTCCTCTACTGACCACAATCACTGACACAGAGAATCAGAGACAACACACACTCCACTACTGACCACAGACACACAGACAATCACTGACACAGAGAATAACAGACAGCACACACTCCTCCACAGACACACAGACAATCACTGACACAGAGAATAACAGACAGCACACACTCCTCCACAGACACACAGACAATCACTGACACAGAGAATAACAGACAACACACACTCCCCTAGTGACCACAGACAATCACTGACACAGAGAATCACAGACATCACACACTCCTCTACTGACCACAGAAATCACTGACACAGAGAATCACAGACAACACACACTCCACTACTGACCACAGACACACAGACAATCACTGACACAGAGAATCACAGACAACACACACTCCTCTACTGACCACAGACACACAGACAATCACTGACACAGAGAATCACAGATGGCCACTGATAGAGAATCACAGACATCAAACCCTCCTCTGACAACCACAGACACACAAATGATCACTGACAAAGAGAATCACAGACATAAACCTCCTCTACTGACCACAGAATCATAAACGGCCACTGACACAGAAAAAACAGACAGTCACTGACACAGAATCAAAGATGATCACTGACAGAGAATGACAGACAGCACACACTCCTCTACTGACCACAGAATCACAGACAGTCACTGACACAGAGAATCACAGACAACAAACCCTTCTTTGATAACCCCCGACACACAGATGATCACCGACACAGAATCACAGACGGTCACTGACACAGAGAATCACAGACAGCACATTCTCCTCTACTGACCACAGAATCACAGACGGTCACTGACACAGAGCATCACAGACATCAAACCCTTCTTTGATAACCATGGACACACAGATAATCACTGACAAAGATAATCACAGACGTGCACTGACACACAGATCCACAGATGACCACTGACACAGAGAATCACAGACAACACACACTTCTCTACTGACCACAGACAATCACTGACACAGAGAATAACAGACAACACACACTCCTCTACTGACCACAGACAATCACTGACACAGAGAATCACAGACAACACACACTCCTCTACTGACCACAGACAATCACTGACACAGAGAATCACAGACAACACACACTCCTCTACTGACCAAAGACACACAGACAATCACTGACACAGAGAATCACAGACAACACACACTCCTCTACTGACCAAAGACAATCACTGACACAGAGAATCACAGACAACACACACTCCTCTACTGACCACAGACACACAGACAATCACTGACACAGAGAATCACAGATGGCCACTGATAGAGAATCACAGACATCAAACCCTCCTCTGACAACCACAGACACACAAATGATCACTGACAAAGAGAATCACAGACATAAACCTCTTCTACTGACCACAGAATCATAAACGGCCACTGACACAGAAAAAGCACAGACAGTCACAGACACAGAGAATCACAGACAACAAACCCTTCTTTGATAACCCCCGACACACAGATGATCACCGACACAGAATCACAGACTGTCACTGACACAGAGAATCACAGACAGCACATTCTCCTCTACTGACCACAGAATCACAGACGGTCACTGACACAGAGCATCACAGACATCAAACCCTTCTTTGATAACCACCGACACAGATAATCACTGACAAAGATAATCACAGACGTGCACTGACACACAGATCCACAGATGACCACTGACACAGAGAATCACAGACAGAAAACCCTCCTCTGCCAACCACAAACACACAGACGGTCACTGACACAGAATCACAGACAGCTGAAGTCATACCTTGTCCCCATCCTCACAGTTCATGACGTTAGAGAAGGGAATCTCAGCCTTGAACATCTTGCGGCAGTGCATGAGCTGCACCAGTAGGTAACACACCGTCTTAAACTTCATCTTTTTGGCAGGTTTGATGTCTGACAGGATCAGACCAGGAAATATCTGCACCACACACAGACAGAGTGAGCAGATCACATCAGACAGTCGACGCAGAAAGTTGATCAACATCACATTCACAATCTAGACGGACTGTAAAGCACTGCTGTGAACTCATGCTGTGTTCTGATCGAGCCCTGGATCCCTCTCCTGAGAGACTTTACTGCAACAGTAACATGCTAAACTCACCGTACTAACATCAGAACATTACACTGACTCACTGTGCTTCTGCTGTGTTGCTCTTTAAACACTTTGAGTGCTGTTTAGGTGGATTAAGGGACAGCTTTAGTGCTACAGGCAGGCTGAAGGGTTGGTGGAGGTGAGCTGCAGGTTTGGTGTTATGGGCAGATGTAAGGGTTGGTTAAGGTGTAGATCAACAATGTGATTACTGAAGGAGATAATTACAGATGAACTCAGATTTTAGATCATTTTTAAGTGTCACTACTAGTTTAAGAACACTCAGAGAACATGCCAAGAATTCAAGAACTTCTTATTCATTTGTCCACTGAAGGTGCACGACAGGTAGTGTAGAGTAATGTAGAGCATGAGGCTGTTGAGCAGATGGACAGTGTCTTTAGTAAATGAACACACACACACACACACACCTTCCTGCGGTGAGATGGCACTATGAAGAAGGTCTCGATGTCGTGTTTGAGCAGAAACGCATGTCTCTCTCTGCCGTTTCCCGGCTCCACTTCATAATCTCCATTCAGACACTCCAGAGTGGAGCGTGTGATGTGCACCTTCCTGAAACCATCAGAGACACCACACGTCACAAACTGCTGGACAACACCCTGATTCAGACCCTCAGAAGTGCACCAGTGTGCATGAGTGTGCATGAGTGTGTATGAGCGTGCATATATGTGTGTGAGCATGTAGGAGTGTGCATGAGTGTGTATGAGCGTGCATATATGTGTATGAGCATGTAGGAGTGTGCATGAGTGTGTATGAGCGTGCATATATGTGTATGAGCATGTATGAGTGTGCATGAGTGTGTACATGAGTGATCATGACAGCTGCTCACCCAGGCAGACCTCCAGCCTCCATCATGTTGGCCAGGGTCACGTCATTGGACCAGACGTCATACTGCCACTTCCTGAGACCCAACACACCACAGAGAACACGACCCGTGTGCAAACCCACACGCATGTTGAGGTCCACCTCTGTCGCCTCGGCGACCGACCTGATCAACACACAGTACAACAGAGTAAAAAGTGTAGCACATCAGCCCACATGAACAACACTTCATCAATGATTATTATTGACAGATCAATGTACTGTAAACGTTAATCAATCATACTGTAGTAAAGTGTGTTAAACACCACATATTAGAGTATTTACAACTCTTTACTGAACGCTCCAGCCTACTGTAGTATTGACTATAGTGAACTGATCAACTGTGACATAAATACTGTAGTATACTTTAGCATTTACTACAGTAAACTGTGGAGTACTGCAGAAAAATAAACCATATAGAGTAGAAAACTACAGTAATGGCTCATTTGTTTATATAACAATAGCTGTTGTGTTACCATAGCAACTGTAGAATCACCACAACAGATCAATTGCTATAGTTGTTGTGTTACCATAGCAACTGTAGAATCCCCACAACAGATCAATTACTATAGTTGTTGTGTTACCATAGCAACTGTAGAATCACCACAACAGATCAATAACTAGAGTTATTGTGTTACCATAGCAACAGTAGAATCGCCACAACAGATCAATTGCTATAGTTGTGGTTACCATAGCAACTGTAGATTCCCCACAACAGATCAGTTACTATGGTTGTTGTGTTACCATAGCAACTGTAGAATCACCACAACAGATCAGTTACTATTGTTGTTGTGTTACCATAGCAACTGTAGAATCACCACAACAGATCAGTTACTATGGTTGTTGTGTTACCATAGCAACTGTAGAATCACCACAACAGATCAGTTACTATGGTTGTTGTGTTACCATAGCAACTGTAGATTCCCCACAACAGATCAATTGCTATAGTTGTGGTTACCATAGCAACTGTAGAATCACCACAGCAGGTCAGTTCGAGTATTCATTAACACTATACTCGTGTGTGGACTGGTGGTGTTTTCTGCATGCAGACTGAGGAGTGTGCACTAAAGATCATCCCTGCAGTCTAGTGTACACTTGACGGAGACTCACGTGATGGTGTCGATCATGTCCAGACCCATCTCCACACAGCAGTGAGCGTGGTCCGTCTTGGGCTGCGTCAGACCCGACACACAGTAATAGCAGTCGCCCAGAATCTTGATGCGCCGGCAGTGATTCTCCTGCAGAAGAAGAGGAAAAGCATGACTACTGCAGCTCCATCAGCCCTCATGCACATCACTATTACAGCAGCAATGTTGTGTATAGTGTGTGTGTGTGTGTGTGTGTGTGTGTGTGTGTGTGTGTGTGTACACCTTCAATACACACTTAAAGATGCACTATAAAGTGTATTGAGCCAAATAATGCTGATATTTGAAAGCACCAAAACAAACACGCCCACAAACAAATGAGACCACACCCCTTTCTAAATCTCTTCTATGGCTAGTAGACACGCCTCTCACTGCTGATTGGCTGCAAGCGTGTTTCCGTTTCAGTTTGCAATGGAATGTTGAAATATTGACTAGTGGGCGGGGTTTATTTCTGAGCTCCGCCTATCATCATTCAGTCACATCAAACTAACAGTTTCAGGGTGTGGCTAAGCATGTTTCGACCAATCAGAGTGATCAGAGAAGGGCTATTTAAATTAAAGATGAACAAAACAAGCTGTTTATCAGATGAACTAATAATATGCTCCAGCACATGACATAGAGTATATTCTGATTTCATGCAAATGGACATTAAAGTGTTGTGATAATATGAAAGCAACAATAACACGACAAAAAAGACACCAATGTTCAACACCTGAAACAATATGCATAATAAGAAGGAACAATGACTCCCCCATGATTATTCATGAGCATAATTACAGCTCTTTCACAGCTGGCAGGAATATACAGCAGCAATAATAGACAACTGATCAGAATATGAATATGATTGACAGTTCAGAAGCGCAGTGAGCTCCATCAGAGGAACAGGTGCTGTATTCAAACACTACACACACACACACACACACACACACACACACACACACACTCACGCAAGAATCAATAAAACACTAGCATGTCATGTCTGGTTTACTCAGTCTCTAAACACACATGAAACACAAGCTCAGTGTAATCCTTACGTTGATTACCATAATCATGAACGTAGCACTGATCCCAGGTCAGCTACAGTCACACCTACTCTCCCACAATGCACCTCAGTCCAGCTCCTAATTGGATCAGAGTGACGTGGTTGTGGCCAGTGAAGGCCGCGCTGCTCTCCTCAATCCTCTTACAGCTATTATTACTGACATCTTTCCCCACGCTTCACAGGAGAATCACTAAACATGCTGGAGCTTTCACAATAATCACCTGACTT